GCATACGACAAAAATTAAGTAACTTGTTACATAACTTTCAATTTTCATTGACAAAGTGAGCAATCAAATAAATATAACCCTCAGAATTAGATACTGCCCATACATCAGAAGTTAAACAAATTCTATTAAGTACGTTGACCATAGCTTGTTTAAATTTTTCTTTCTCTCTCAAATGAATCCTCTGGACATCAGATACAATAGTATTTTTACAATGCATCACCACATCTAGATTTAAATACTTAACCCAAGCTTTAATCTTATCGTATTCAATAAAAGTATAAAGCAAGTCATGTTTAATTATAGCTTCAACAAGCATATCATGTGAAATCTGAGAATCAATTTTCTAACTTTTACCTTTCCTCATGATCCATAAGCATTTTGATGGTGGATTAAATAAATTTACAAGTTTCAATGTGATGATGCAAATGTGAAGTGCCATAATTAGAACTGCCAGATTTAGGGCCAACCTTATACTTCGTTTTACAACTGTTACAAGTTGCCCTTTCCACTCCATCTTGTTGTTTGCTTATTTTAGTAAAATAACTCCAAACATTTGAAGTTTCTTTGTTGACCCTCTTACTCAATTGTTCAGATTCAAATATATGGGAATGGGAGGGAATTTCATCCTCATTCATATTTTACATCATCATCTAAATTTACAAAATTTTCAACTGATTGATTTGTCATCATCACTTTCAAATAACATAAATATGAATAACACATATTAAAAATATACCCCAACGAACAACAATATTTATTGACATAGATATTATTGAATTCATAAGGCAAGCATATTGGAAACCATCTTTAAAAAACTTGGTTAAGCATAAAAGTAGTGCTCTAGTCAAAACAACTTCCTTGTAAATGCCTCAAACAAACTAGGCACTTTCCACTAAAACAAGTTGAAAAAAAATTTTAATGTAAAAAAATTATCAAAAACATGACATATCCATATTTAATACCCAATGTCAAGTATTATGAAATGCCAATTATCATTACTTTGAAATTTCTCTAAAATAAAGATTTCTTTTATCTAAAATAAAAATATAAAACTTTAATAAAAAAAATAAAGATTAATTTAAAATCTTTAAAATATTATAAATTTTTTTTAAAATATTATGTCACCTATAAGCTATTCTTTGAACTTTCTACTCATATAAGCTATCTATATTTGCCTATCAATAGATGCAAAATGTGTGATCACCTTATAACATTATTAGAATTAATACCAAAGCTATGAAAAACTATTAAAAAGATCAAAAGACTATTAACCAAAAAAAATAAAATACACATTTTTTCATATGTGCAATATTTTTCTACCATTTTTTGTGTTGTTGTTATTATTATTCAATATATCAATTGAAATTTAGAAATCTTGGCAAATGATTTATACATTTATTATTTTTCTATTTAACTATCATGCGGTAGTATAACTTAATATATATATTCATTTTCAACTTTACCATTAATATATAACATAATAATATTTTTCTTATATAATCCCACCCAACATTTAAAAGTAAGTGTTTAATTTCGTTCATTGCTCCATGAGAACTTCTAAGTATGAGTGTACGTGTGTTAGGATATGCAAATAGTCAAATACTCAATCTTAATATGGCTCTAATATATAAACTACAATCGTTTAATTAAAAAATCAGTTATACTCTTTACCACAAGGTTAAAGTTTTACTCTACTTCCAACTAATTTTAGGATCATTGTCTTGATAAAATCAGTTTTAACTCCTTATGGTTGTGATCATTGGTCTTTCAATTTCGATTTGCTTTACTATCACCCCAATGATCTTTTTGCAAGTTGTATTAATTCCTTGAAAATTTTCCTAAACAAATCTTAAGTTCTTTGACTTAAGAAGTTACAAATGTTATTGAACAAATTCTCAAATTTTCAGCCATAACCTTTTAGTTTTGACATTTTGTAAAGTAAAAATTTTTACTAATCTCTCCTTGCATATATCATTTTACTTGCAATTCTACTTTAATTAACAATAGAAAAGTGAGATATTGGTAGAGTTACCTAGGCTGCCGAAAATGAAGAGATTGGAGGAGAGATGCCCACCTAGTTTGAACGAGAAAGGTAGATCTGATGAGAGATGTCGCTTGTGGAGGTGGTTTAGAGACTCGAAGATAGCTAGCGTCTGATGATCGGCTGAAGGTGAGAATTGGGCAAAAAGGGGTTTGAACTTTGAAGTTATAGTTAGCAGTGAGAGAGTAGAGTTAAGCTGACGTTTGGTACTTTACAATGCAATGTGATTACATGTAATGTGATTGCAAATAATGTGATTGCAAATAATGTGATTGCAAGCAATGTGATTACAGGGAAAATAACATTACAGTGTTTGGTATGCAAACAAAATAATGATTAAAATGCAGGAAAAATAACATTGCAGCGTTTGGTTTACAAGTACTTTGCTGGGAATGTAATGTTAATTTTCAAAATTATCCCTAGTTATTAAAATACAAGTTTAGTATATTTATATTTTTTATTATTAATTTTTATATAATACCATCTTTTAAATATATTTTTAATGTCATATATTTTATTTTCATTTATTATTATAATCTTAGATATTTTATTTTTAATATATTTATATTTTTATTATTAATTGTTATATAATATCATCTCTTAAATATATTTTTAATGTCATATATTTTATTTTTATTTATTATATAATCTTATATATTTTATTTTTATTTTTTAATATATTTTTTATATTATATATTTTATTTTAATTTGTTTTACCTATATTATATAAATTTTAATTTTTTATATTTTATTTTATTTTAATTTTTGATTCTTATATTATATATTTTATTTTAATTATAACAGTATAAAATATTTTTCATAAGGTAATAAAGTTGAAGGGTAAGATTGTCTTTAAGAACATTACAGAGTGCAATGTAATGTGATTGCATTGATTTTAAACTGCAATTACATTACATTCCTTGGCTGTAATGTGATTGCATTACAATCTTACATCGCAGTGAGCTGTTATAAAACAAATATTACAATGTAATTTAATTAGACACATTGCAGGGAATGTGTTCTTACTTTCCTGATATCAAACATCACCTAAATGAAAAAAAGAAAGATAGAGGATCTGAAATAAAATGTGAAAAGGAATTGGACTTGATCTATTCGTTTTGTCTTTCTCATGTTGAAGCCTTTAAAAAATTATGGATCTTTCTTAGCCCCCTTTACTCATTGTGAGTCCAGACGGGCAGGGGCCAGCCTCCCGGTTAAGGATTTAGGGTTTTAGGGGAGGCCTTAAATTAAACATTTAATTTTCTTTTTCCTTTCGGCCCACAGTGCTGATTCACACCAATCCCAGTCAACCCACGAACCAAATGACCAAATAGGTTACCCCATTTAGGCCCGATTTTAATATAAACCTAAATATTTATAATCCAACCCATCTCTTGTTTAATAAAAAATGAGCCAACCCAATAGATCAGGTCCATTTTGATAGATCTAGTTACATAAAATTACATAAATTACTATGGTTTATTGATTATTGTACTTTTTTTTTTAATCATAAGAAAGATTTTTTAGCATAATCTTTCCTATTAATTCACTAACTTTTGTTTATGAATCTAAACCATATTTAATATAATTACTATTTTTTCACTATACTCTCCACAACTTACATTATATAACGATAATTGTGTTAAATTACATGACAACGCAATAAAAAATACACGTATATAGTTTGTGTATGTGTATTTATTTATGTTTGTTAAAAAAATTCAAACTTGCAAAAACAAGATATAAATTCAAAAGATTATTATTCTAAATATCGATAATGAAGTTTTTAACTCAAAATTAGTTGAAAGATAGTCACATAATAGTTCATTAATATATTAATTTTTATAAATATATATTAATATGATAAAGTATTAACCCTTTTATTAGTAGAATTTACATGTTAACCCTTTAATTGTGTTTGACTGCTTGTTTAGTTTAGCTTTTTTTCAGCTTATCTACTTAAAATTAGAAGTCAGGTCAAATAAGATTTTTGAGAAGTTTTTAAAAAAAGCAACTATTTTTCAAAGAACAAAATTTTAAAAAAATATCTTAAAGAAAAGCTTCAAAAAGGAATTTTCTTTTCTTTTTTAAAAAAATACATTAGCTTTTTAAAAAATAACTCTCTCTCTCAATCAATCTCTCTCTCTTTTTCCTCTTTTTGCAAATCATTATTTTTCAACGCAAAATCGCGATTTTCTTTTTTTCTACGTTTCTCTATAAAAACTACTAAAAAGAAATAAAAAATAAAAAACCTAGCAATAGAATAGTCAAATCTAGGATTTTTTGTTCTTATAAAAATTAAGAGAAAAAAGACTTAAAATTCAAAACTGCATTAAGATATTATTTAAAGGTTTTTTATTTTTTAATAAAAAAATATAATACTATTACTACTATATAAGTTTGAGAGTTGTTCTGTTTTTTTATAAATTTTTCTAATTTTAACATTTGAAATCATATAAACTTAAAATAAGTTTGTTTCGTTTTGATTTAGCAGATACCATAAATATTATTTATGGTAATTTTAATCAAAATTAAAGTTTATATAATTTATTTTATTAAAAACCTAATCAAATAATTTTAATTTAATTTTAAAAATAAAAAAATTAAACCAAATAGGGTTTGAGTATAATAAAAATTTTCAGTCAATCAATGAAAAATATGATAACATATCAATTCTCAAATCAACAATAGTATTCCCGCCATACTAAACGACAGACTTCGAACTCCAATCCAAAACGGTGTCAAATTAAACCGTCATTAGATGTTTATATATTTATATATGCATATAGACATATATATTTCTGTTTCTGATAGGATTCGAACCCTAGACTCTACTCCCATCTACTGCTTTCTCCCTGCACTCTCAACTACCACGCTGCTCTCCCTTCCCGCCAATACGTCCATGTCCACCCTCTGAATAAAAAAAATAAAAGAAGACTGTTTCGACTGTTCCATTCAAATGGACGCGATCATATCCTCTGCTCTCGAAGAAATCTGCGCGCAAGGGCGACATGGCCTCACCCTATCCTCCCTTTGCTCGAAGCTCGGTCTGAGCGTCGGACTTAAACGAGCCTTATGGACCAACCTACTCAAAATCCCAACCGTTCAGTTTCAAGTTCCAAATCGTGTTTACGATCCAGATGACCCTTCGATTCGATGCTTCGAGGATGCGGAAAAGCTGGATTTGATCATTGTTGCTAGGGAGAAATTCCGTGATAACTTTAGGCATTTGCGATTTCTCTTTGGGAGCTGATGAAAAAGAGTTTCGTCGACAACGTCTCGTTCTTGAACGCATTGCCAGTGGTAGGTTAATGAACATTGCTTGTTCTTTCTTTTCCCTTTTTTATTTGTGCGCGCGCGCGCACTAAGATTTAGCATAATTTCAGTTCAGTTTGTTTAACAGAATTTAGAATCGTTTTCATCTTACAGCTTACTTTGCACTCTGTTGTTAGATATGTGGCAGATTGAAAAATGCTGGTTTAGTAGAGAAGACTTATGCAAAGGTGAACGGGAAGGTTAGTTTGACAACTTCTGCAGCCAATGTTTCTGCTCATTGATTTCACATTTCCCATCTCCATTTTCTTTATACATTTATGTTTACCGTGGATTCCAAGAGCATTCATTTTATGGATTTATGGTATTTCTGTTGTTTGGTTTATACATTATTTTGTTTTCTGTTCATAATCTTCTCTTCTTTCTCTCATTTCAGTCATTATTGCTAAATATGTTGTTTGGCATTGATTATATTTAACTTCAGAAGGAAGCCATTTGGTTTTAACTTGATGGGCCAAAATTCAATCCAACTAATAATCTTGTTTCTTCTTTCTCCTGCATTACTTACCAAACCCCATTTAACTGTTTTTTCATTTTTCCATAATCCAAACCTTGCGTGCCTTCGTTTATGTTGTAATTTTTAAAATTAATAGGAGGTTAATTTCCTAAATATAAATGGTCAAATAAATACAAACATAATAGAATTTTGGAGACTATATGCATATGATATCTTTGTGAGATAGCTTTGTTTAAGGTGTTGAACTTCCTTCAAGCAAGTGGAACAAATTTTTTACTATTTCATGAAGGTGTCTATATTGCTGAAAGTTATGCCTTAGCATTTTCCTACTTTATACAGGATGAGCGCTGCCTACATTTGCTAAAAATGTTTTCCCTCGTGGATTTTGAGCAAAAACCAATCAAGCATGTTGAAGGCAAAGAACTGAAATTTGGAAGATGTCAAATAGCTAACCAGCTTGTGGAGCTTCCCATTTTGCATCAGATTTATGACGCAATTCAAGCTGCAGGAGTTGAGGGGATGCTTATTAAAGAGGTTTTCCCAAGAATCTTATATTTACTTTTCTCTGCATCCCAATAATGATTAAAAAGTTTCGTTCTTGATCATCTTCATAATAGAGTTTTACATATTTTTAAATGTTTGGCACTGCACCTTCCTCAAGTAAACGGAAAGGTGGGGCTGGGGGGAGGTGGAAGGAAGAAGTTACATGTTTTTATCTTAATATTAACGCACTTTAGCAGCATTATTTAAGTTCTGACTCTCTATGCATATTTTCTTCCTAGAAATTTTAAGGATCCTATCCTAATGCATAAGACCCTTTTAATATTCTTCTCAAATCTAAAGTGTCTTATTTTGACTAGTCGGGAACTTGGGTATGTCAAATGGATCTGCTTTTTTCTTTTGAGCAGTCGTGTTTATGCTAAAATTATTTTAGTTGTATTCCAAATAGAACTTCCTTGAAGGGTTCCGGATTTGTGAAATGTTAGACCTTGATATTGCAATTGGAGAATTTTTCAAAATCAAGGACAGGTTAAGACTTGATGCAAGGCTATCTCAAGGAAAGAATATAGTGATAAGTAAACCTAGCATTTGCACCTGAGTATTTGATTCATTAGTTGATGAATGATTCTCTATTTAAAAAGTATGGTTTAAATCTCTCCTCCTCAATTAATAAAAAAAAAAGATAAATCTAGCATTTTAACTGGGCAGCCCATCTCTTCTGTGGAGCTGATTCTCGAGTGAGCTAAGTTATATTTTTCTGCCTCTTTCCAACTTTGGCAGTGCACACACTTAAAAAAAATGGAAAATTGGCAGAGAAATTTAGTCTTTGGATGAAATGTGAAAACTGCATGTGGGGCATTCATAATTCTTTCTGGCTCGCGAGAAATAGGCGCAAGTGGAGGTCTTCAGAAGTAACTGCATTGTTATATTGATGAGAGAGAAAGGCTCATATCGGGCAATTTCGTAGGAAGTTTGATAGAGTTCTAGTTTTATCTTTGCATTGAGAAGTTTATTTTAAAGTTGGTTGAGATTGGAGATGTTTGTAGCCTTTCTTAAGATGCTATTCGCTACTTAACCATCTGAGTCAAGTCAGGTCATAAAAGTGTACACTAGTTTCATTTTGAAATGCTCTTGAAATGCTAAAAAATTCACATTTTGAACACAATGAAGAAGATGGTGGTTGTGTTATACATGTAATACTAGTTTTGTGAAGGGAAATTTAGAACTCAGTACATAGCGTCAAATGAGCAATGATTTAAGTAAATGCATGCTTGGCTTGGTGCTCCTTGGGGGCCACCTTGAACAATCACACTACACCTGAGACCTGAATTATTTCAAGATGATAGACAGAATCAATATTCTCTGAAATGTTTGTGTATATTGCAATTTCCCTTTGTCAGTCTGTTCTGTCACAATTATAGTCCTTTCTAGATCTTGGGAATGAGCATTTCTACAAATGTATAACGTTTCCTTCCAAATCTAGATGTCCCTTTTCCGTCTCATTCATAGATTTTTCTGTGAAACAGGTCAGCCAGAGGTTTGGAGTCGATATGAAGACAAATTTCAAAAACTGTTGTCTTATGAGCAATAAATTTGGGATGCCTATGCAGAGGGAACTTCATAAAAAAAACTCTGAATACAGAATTCGGACAGCCAAGAGCTGTGAATCATCGGATGTGATTCCAAGTAGATCAAAAGACCTTTTCAGCAAAAATTCTAGTTTGGGTGTTGTCAATCCTGGGTTTTCAGACGGGTCAGCCCAAATTTTAGGTCTTTTGAACTCTGAAAGTAATACCCTGGGGAAGACAAACAACAGGGAAACTGAAATAGAGCTTTCGTGTTGCTCTACCAGAGGTAGCGAGGCAGGCGATAGTATCTCCAATACTTGCAAATCACAAGAGTTAATCCATGAATCTAAAGAAGTTGTTTCCGACACAGGACTCCATTCAGTGAATAGTCAAACAATGCCACTTAAACCCCGTCAGTATTTGACAGTTGATAACACCCGGAGGGAGCAGAGAATCGTTGACTGGTTACAGGTCTTTGCCTCATCCACTTCACTTGAGACAGGAAATAACTCTTTTTTTTTTGTTTTGCTTTCAGTAATTTGATAACTCATGAAGACAATGCAGGTTGAAAAGGTTGTCTTGAGAGCAGAGCTATATAGGTGGCTTGTGGATCTTGAGAAGGACAAAAGCACAACAATGGGCAGGAAATCTGTAGACCGAATTTTGTACAAGCTTGAAAACCAAGGGCAATGCAAATGTGTCCACCTACCTGTACATGAGATTATGAGTACTGATGCTAACCGTAAAGTCAAGGTGGCTCTGCACCCATCTATTCAAAGTCTATCTTCTGAGGTACTAGGTAGAATCCGTTATAGACTCATGTGTTTTGAGAAGCAAACTCATTGCCAGGGCTCATTCAAGAAAAAGAACATTAACTCAGTTCTTGTATTGGATGGCGTACAAAGAACTCACACTCAAGCTTGTTCGGATGCCCTAGCTCTTAGAATGGCAGCCATGCGTGCTAATGGATTCATATCGGGAAAAATGGTGCGTGCAAAGCTGTTGCACATTTTTTTCTGGGATTAGGTATTTAGTTCACCTACTAGGAATGATGTCTTATCATATGGGAGACAAGATCATGATCAACAGAATCCTTATGTCACTCACAATCTGTTTGATGTGAAAGCAGCTATCGAGGGCATTCCACTTGAGCTATTCCTTCAAGTTGTGGGTTCCACTGTTCAAGTTGACAGCATGATAGAGAAGTTTAGAAAGGGACTACGTTTATGTGATCTTTCCATTCGGGAGTATAATGATCTAAATGTTACTCCAGCAATTAGGAGACTGTCATCGATTCTATCTATTTTACAGCGGTTGAAGGTAAAATTTCTTGCTTACAATTTAAATTAAATTTATCCCGTGAATATAGCCTTCTAGATTTTTCCATGTACCATATCACTTGAACTGAGCTGATTCAGTTTTCTGAATGTTTGAGTGTCATGCTATATTACTATTAGATTGGTGTAGATACCAATATCTCAAAAAGAGGGCTTGGGTCATCATAAGCCTGATTGGCTTTCTAATAATTTAACCTTGGCCGGGCAGTGAATCAAACTTAGAAACGATCATGACTGGCGCACTTACAGCTATAGATACCACCATGGATAATACATTGTTACATACTTACAGCTATATATACCACCATGGATAATACATTTTTACATACTGCATGCATGCTGCTTATCTTCAATCTTGAAGCATAAATTATCGTTTATTTCTGAAGGTTTTTTCTGTCAATTGCTCTGGATGCTCTTTATACATTCCTAATATCAAGACTAACAATGACACTTGTACATAGTTGATTCGTCCGGTAACTAGTGAAAGCTCTGAAGATGGAGTCATTGTCCCACATGCCAGTCCTATGTATGTCCTGGAGCTTAAGCCTTGTATAGAGGAACCGCCATTAGTTGCAACATATTCAAGTTCTGGATGCCTTGATTGTTGCCCAGACAGAGATGCTGTAGATGAGATTGTCAGGCATGATTTTATCCTCTCAAACAGAGATGCTATTGATGAATACTGGCGAGTTTTGGAATATATTTATGCAGTGGCTGATCCGAAAGCTGCTTTGCATGCATTCCCTGGGTCTACAGTTCATGAGGTATGCATGCATATTATTTTTCCACTTATGCACAAATGGTAGGATTTCAGAAATCTTCACATGAGAAAATATTTATGCATTGATCATCTATGTGGAAATAGAAGTCTTCTATATGTTATTTATTATGTTTGTCAATTTTTTCCATAACCCTTAAGATTGCCTTGTTTTAGTTCCCATCCACGATGGAAGGTAATCACGAATAAAACTTTTACAGATTTCTGGTCACAAGTCATGGGCCTCAGGTCGAGGAATGACTGCTAGTCAGCAAGCCAAGGTACTCAAACTTATAGTGAAGAGTAACTTCAATAAAAAACTTCCATACAAAGAATGTAAGGAGATCGCGAAGAATCTAAATCTCACCTTGGAGCAGGTTAGATCATGTTTCAGGTTAGATCGCGAAGAAAATCTTACGTTAGTCTCTCCTCAAGACCATGAAACTCGGGTGCAAGAACATCAAGAGGAAGATCACTGGAAGATTTCTGAAAAGCCTGGAGTAAATAGAGACAAGTGTGACTCCTATACCAGTCGTTCAGCCTTTACCAAGATGAAGTCAGCACGTCAAAGAAGGTTTCCATGGACAGATGAAGCAGATAGGTAATGGAAAATGAATTAATTAATGTGGGATCTATGTTTCCAATGAAGTTTGCATAAAATATTTTCCGTGGAAGTTACTTATGGGGAAACTTTTGGGAAGTTTGCGTGCATTTATTTATAGATTATCATCTCATACACTGTGGATAGAGTTTTTAAATTCTATTAACGGAGTTAGAGGGTTGCCACATATTTTATTAAAATATATTTAAAATTAAATAAATTAATATGATAAATAAAAAACATGTAACAATATTTAACCGGCTGAACTCAACAGACGGTGAACAATATTTATTTCTATGCAATTGTGGCTTGACTATTTTGCTATAGCCGAATAAAGTTAGACTAGTTCTGAAAAATAGAAAAATGACACTAGTCTTTTATTTTTCTCCCTTGTTTGCATTTCCCCTGAGAGTATATTTCATACTAATTGCTTCATTTTGTGTAAATGAATGTTTTTCTTTCAGGCAATTAGTAATTCAATATGTAAAACACCACGCAGCAGCAAAATTTTCTGACAAAAGCAGGCCTTCACTTTCTGACCTTCCAGCACCTCCAAAAGTCTGCAGAAGAAGAATGTCATTCCTAAAGCAGAATAGAAAATTCAGAGAATCTTTAATAAGCCTTTGTAATATGCTTAGCGAACATTATGAGAAGCACCTGGAAGAAACGGAGAGCAGGTCAATGGATGATGATGATCGTGGACTACTCATACCATGTTCATCAGGGGCTGGTAATTGCAGGAGTTTCTTTGAAGGCATTGGATGCAATCAAACTAGAGGTGTCCAGGAAGAACACTGTGACAATTATAATATGGAAAAGATTAATTTAGCCTTGGAAGAGGTTCTTCGTAGCAGGTGGGTGGCTACACTGGAGGCCCCTGGAAACGTCTGCGACTCTCAATTTCCATCTAATACGGGGAGTAGCGCTGCTAGATTTTCTAGGTGGCTTCGTGCACGTGAAAAAGATTTTCTGAGAGGAGGCATCGATCTCCGTCCAGATTTAACGTGTGGGGAAATTTTTCATTTGTTTGCGTTAGTTTCTTCAGGTGAACTGTTCATTTCCCCATGTGTTGCAGTCGATGGTGTCGGAGAAGCTGAATATATCAGAAACTTAAACCACACCTCTCTTTTCAATGACCCCACGGATTATCGCCGAGAAAAAGGTTTTCCTGGTATCAAGTTATCTGTGCATCGAGCACCAATGTCAAGAGCTGTTGCTCTAGAATCATCATTCAAGAATTGGGAGAAGTGTGGTAATGAACATTTTGTTGGTGAAAATTATCTAGGCCTCATTTCTGCAAGTCTTGAAATTGGCAGCAATTCATCACATTCTGAAGTTGGTAACGAAAAAGTAAATTTCAGAAGCACTGTCCCTGCTCCTGGGTATTCTTGTGACTCGACTTGGGAACTGATGGTTTGTTATGCTACACTTTTGATGCCATTACCTTCCAATCAAGAACATGTTGGTACTTTGTCTCCTGAAGTCTTTAAAACTATCTACACTGCCATCCAGAAGGCTGGTGATCAAGGTTTGGCCATTAGAGAAGTTTCCAGAGTTATGGATACATTAGGTATACATGATAATTTTTACTAGGAAGGACATATTTAAACATGCATTGCTTTCATTATTAGAAAGACCTACATACATGACGTTAGTACTTATTTCTTGTTGATCTTTTTCAGGAGAAGAAATGGCTGAACTTGTCATTGATGTACTCCAAAAGTTTGGACTAGCAGAAAAGGTAGGTTTGATTTTGTCATTTGACCATATTTATTCCTCAAATTTGGAAAAATTTGTAGGACACCATACCTATGGAATACCATAAATCATGGTGAAACATTGCAAGTTGAAGGCTTGAAAGGATTCTCTTTCTAGGCCCCTTTTGGGTCATCTTCCATTCTGATATTTCATTTATGCCTTACTTCTTGTCCTGGTCATTGCAATTAACTCAATGTTACGTCACATATTTTTGAACCTATTAAAAGAATTAAAACATTTATTCAAAAACAAAGGGATAGACCCTGTTAGGATTTTCTGACCTGATATTCTAGCATCTTGAGGTCATCTGGTCCTATGTAGAAGACAAGGGAATGATACCCATTACATCATCTTTAACTTCTTCATAGATTCACAAATATTTGGGCTGTTTTACGCTTGAACTGCGGCATTTGAACCAGTCTGTTTGATGTCTTGACAAGTGCACAAGTTAAATTTCCATCCTAACAAATGGTTTCTTGTTATGCTTGATGCTTTTATACAGGTCAGAATTAACGGTTCACTTCGTGTCATTGCTGGATCAACAAAGAAGCCCTCAAGCATACACATGGATTACAATGATGTGCAAAAATTCAACATTCTCAATCATCATGAGCATGTTGATTCATTGCCTGATAAAACTCACACTGTTAATTTGCGTGAGGATTCTATGCAACGCAATGTTGTATTACCAGGAGCAAATAATAGACATGGTCTGCCTGAAGGCTGCAAATGTCATGGTGCAGATGGGATCACCGAGAAGAATATGCATAAGGGGATCATAAGGCAAACCTTTCGTATTGTGATGCAAAATCCAGGAATACTGGAGGTACATGCTTTTTTTAGTTGCTTTTATTTCATTTTAATTGCATTATTACTAGCTTTTGGTACAATATGGAAAATTAAACAATTAATGCAAAAGAATAGGGATGAGGGTGTAAAATTACTTAGATATCTTGCTTGCAAATTGCTACTAATTATAAAAGATTTGATTACTTTTTAGTTTTTCTTTTTCTGCTGATGACTCATAGTGACGGCTGCAAGAGCAAGGTTCGGTAGTTTGTATTGAACAATTTTCCTTTCCTCACATATGCTTCTTCTGTACTTGCGAAAGAGAATGGGATATTTCAAATAAATTTGGTTGAAGTTGTGGTCTACTTAATTAAATCCCCTGAAAATAGAACATATTAGTTACACAGTTATGACTAATTTCTTTATTGTTCAAGCGTTTACTTCTATATATATTTGCATTGAGAAAGTCAGGAATATAAAAAATGAAGCGATTGTTTTCTACATGTTCACCACCTTTAGTTTTTTGTTCTTAATGTGATCGATGACCTATTTAACTGGAAGTTATTCTAGTTTGGGCTGGTCATGTCCAGCTACAGAGTGGGACTTGTTTTTGGAGGTCACAGCACATTCTCATTCTTTTTCCCCACTGTTTGTGCAGCGTGATATTATTCACAAAATGGAGTTGCCAAACCCCCAGGTAAGATGCTATTCAATATATAATTTCAAGATTTATGTACCTCTGCTTATTTTGTTACATTCAGACCATAGATGTACACTAATTTTATCACGTATATCTAGCTTATAGCCCTTTGCTTTCACTAGATGCCAACAAAGTAGTAACCAATACCTATGGACATTGATTATGTGGGTAGATAAATATACTCTATGTATGTATGTATATATGTGTGTGAGTGTCAATTATTGATTTATTCTCTCTTATTTTTGAAAGGCGAAAGATATTTGTTAATAGCAAATAAAAAACATAGATTTATATGTCCTCTCTGTTGTTTTGCATGGATTATTTGAAATGTTAGAACTTAGAACTCATAAGACGAGCTTTAACCTTGATGATAATATATATGGGGATGACATTCTGTCATAACTAGAATTATAAGCTAAAAACTTATTTACCCTTGCTTTTGTTGGAAATCAATTTTTACACTCTTGTTGTAATCTTTACCATGGTGAACATATTTTTGTAGCGACATTCTCTGTACCCTCCTGGTGAGCATGAACGTTAATGGATTCATCTGTATTTCTGATGCAGCACTGTAAGAAGGTATTAAGGTTGATGGTTCGGGACAAACACCTTATCATGAAGAAGATGCATCAAAGTCTACCTGGTGGAGTCCCAAGTGTTTTAGGAACCCTCAACATGAAAAAATCAAAATTAATTTACCGCGAGCACTTCTTCGCCAACCCTATGAGAACCTCTCTACTGTAGGAAAAGTTTATTTAGCTCTAATGTATTATAATACTGAATATTATTATATTCATTGAATGGAATTGATGAAAAGCTTTTACAGTTCAGAGGGATTGGGCATACCAAACATGAATGGCTCTTGTATTCAAACACAGTTTTCAGAGGCATAGCATAAATTTACAAAGCAAACCAGTTTCTTCGTATGTGCAACTCTATATTTATAAAGAAAATTGGCAAGAGAGGACCTCAGTCTGAGTATGAAGGATCCAATAGAGTTGAAAATGGAAACCTCAATCTTCGTTATCCTTTTCTTCTTCTTTATCCCCTCCTGTTCATAATCTTTTTCTTCTTTTTTCACATTAATTTCGTGAAGCAAATTATCGACATCAGTCCAATGCATTTTATATGGTTCAAAAGGATAATGAGCTGAAGAACCTCCATTGCTCTGCTGAAGATATGTAACCTTAAATCCAGGCCATGCGGTGCTCTCATTGATGGTATGTAAAGGCCGAGGCTCATTTCCAGTGTATTTCACCCATGCGCAATGGACAGAAGCTACCAAATCTTTGTGATCATGGCATGCATCAAGGTTAACAGAACCTACATTTTCTAAATTACTCTCCTCATTAACAAGGTTTATTGAAATAGTATTTTCTTCTTCTTCCCCTTCCTTTGCTAGGATGGAACCAAGCAAATCAGCTATCTCCCCCCAGTCCATTACGTTTGGAGTAGGCAGAAGTTTTTCTCCATAGCTATAATATTTGAGAGTATAACCAGGCCATACATTCTCAAAAGTAACATGAGCATCACCTTCACCATGGACCTCCTTTTTTGTATACTTTGCCTATATATTTCGGATAGCTTTTAGCAGATGTCCATGGTTGGAACACTGGTGAAGTTTGATTCTACTTGCTATTTTTGAAGCAGGATTCTGGCTATCTTTCACTGACACCAATATGGTTGTTCCATCTTCCTCTTCCGCCTCTTTTTCTTCTCCTTCACCGTATTCCCCTTCTCCTTCTTCTTCTTCTTCTTCCTCAACTTCCTCCTCCTCTTCCTCTTCATCTTCTTCTTTCTTATATTCCTCTTTTTCTTTCTCATCCTTCTTCCTCCCCTTGCTCTTCTGAAGAATCTGAACCAATGTCAGAGTCTTTTTCTTCAGCTTCTGCTTGATATTCATCCTCTGAATCATCAAAACCATCAGATCCACTCGCACTTTCAATTCTTCTCCCATTTTCTTCACTAAACAAAGAATGTTTAAAAGCTCCACTACTCATGTTCCTCTCCGTCATTTCTCTAAATTTACGAGCACCATGATCATTACCACCTTGCTTCATATCACAAGTGTAGAGACTTGAGGTAAACTTAGTGACGGGCTGTGGAAACAGAAAAAGAAAAAAAAGAAAGACAAATCAAATCCGCATATAATACCATGGAGTGAATCTTACACAAGGGAATGGATTTGGAAATTAGTGTGAGCCCAAAAAGAAGAGGATGAAGTAAATTACTTACACTTTGGTCGAAGCTACAAGGGCGTGTTGCAGAAGTAAGGACTTGGGTGGTTACCACTCCTCCAGACAGACTCTTTGTTGGTCCAATAAACTTACGATGGTCGTCTCCCACATTGCTTTTGTTAAGGTAATTTGTAAGAAGAAAACAAAAAGTTGTTGTGATTCAACGTCTTGAAAGGATACATTGAGGTTCCTCACGCCCACAGTCATGGTGAACCTCATCCACCTCTCCTTGGGGCAGTTGTTGAACATCTCTGTCCTCTCAGCCCTCCCAACGACCCAAGTCTTTGAAGCTGGTTTACCAAATCATATATACATGTCAAAACAAATGATTATCTGTAAGTTTTGAGGAAAATAGTGAGCTAAGGTGACCAGGGTTTTACCTGATAGTACTAGCACCTCCATTACCTTCTCCACTTTAGCCAGATTTTGGGCATGCAGAATCATAATAAACTCAACTTTCACTATCCTGTTGCTCGTCTTATCCCATATGGACACATGTCCGAGGAGAAATTAATTGAAACAAATAAATCGATTGTTAAAAACAGTTAAAAAAATGAGCCAGCAAAAGCTAGTGAAGTGTCGATCCAGAAGACCGCAGCTAGTGAGGAACAAGGCAACAAGCAAGGTTTAAACTCATTAAGAAACGGAAAAGAACCCTTTGTCCAAAGCACGATGAATTTGAGAAAAGTTAATTTCTTAAATTTATAATGTTAGTCACAAATTATGAAAACTAAAATAGAATGTCATAAATAGACACTAAGTCATGCTTTATGACATATTTGGAATACTTGATGAAATGACCGTTTTACACTGTGAGACTTACCATTAAAGTGTTTTATCAAATTCTTTAATTGACTATCTAACATTTGGGTGGTCATGATATACTGCTAGACACTACTCATGATTTATAAATATAAATCAATTATCAAATTAAAATTTGATTAGAATTTATATTTATTGCCAACATATTAGAAGCTTAATAAGTCATATAAATTAAGTAACATGATTGAGATTAAATAAAAATAATCAATTAAGTTGGACATAATTAGAATAGACCAAATAAAGTGAAAAATTAATTAAGTTCATAAAGACTTAATTGAATAAAAATACAACTATTGTATCTAAAGTTACAACTTAGTTTGACTATATAAATATAGTATATTAGTCAACTAAAACTCTAAGCCTTCAAACACTTCTTAGCAGTTTCATAAAAATAAGAAAAAAAAATAGTTTTCTTTGTCTAACAGAAAAAAGATTTGGGAAGAACTTTTAAGTTTTTTTGTTTTAATAACAAAACTTGCTATCACAAGTAAAAATTCTACTTTTAATATGATCTTATTTGATCACTGTGTGAATTACTATTAGAGGCCAAGCACTTTGAGTGGTTGAGAATTTGATAAATCCTAAAAGTGAAGAAGTAAGGATTTTGACTGTGAGATTTGAGACTGTTATTCTCTTTTAGAGTTTCTTACTTCATCATGAACCTTTTGAATTTAATTAACTCTTAATTATGATATCTAGAATAAGGTATATAATACTTAAATTTATAAATATTTATAATTAATTTAAAAATTACATGAAAAACACAAACATTGATATATTAAATTTGGTTGTTTCTTTGATTAAATGCATATTTAATTTTTTTCATTACATTATATTTTTAATTTTTTAATTATTTTCATGTTTGAGCATGAAGTCGAATCTCAACACAGAAAATGTCACTATCACATTTGTCTTCACCATTGTTGCCTCATTTGCTACATTCATCTTCAATGTCTCAAAGATCTCAATCAAACTCTGATTGAGATCTTTAAGGGAAATATTAATAGAATGAATGTGTCGATATTCAATCATTTTCCTTCCAATTTTCATTGTATTATAAGTAATTCTTGTTAAATTTTCAACCAAAAAAGTTTTGATGCGATTTTGCAGAGCTTTCACCTTTGGAAAGTTTTCGAATGGTGACATTGTTGACATAGTTAATTTAAGTATTAAAATTAAAATTGATAAAGTATAGAAGATGTAGCCTAAGAACTTGTATAAGATAAGATACATAATTTGTAAATTGTTTTTTCAATGTTTAATTTTCAAAGTAATTATAAAAAATATTAAAAAATCATAGTATAAGTGTGTTTCTACACGTTAAGTTTAATTTAGGCCAAGAATTGAATGCTTTTCAAAAAAAAAAAGGCTAAAGAGTATTTAAACTTTATTAAACTTTATATATATATATATATATATATATGCATTACAACATATAGTACTATGATTTGATTCTTAATTTCTGCAAAGTAAACCAAAAGTTTTAAGTTTAGTTTTTCATACTTTCAAATGTAGTACTAGTACTAACTAATTATCAAAGAAATTACAGAGATCGAAGAGGCTTTCTACAGTGCTGGGGAATAGGCGTTGGCCACCGTGGAAAGGCAAAGTCTAGCCTGGAGCCAGCCATTACAGGCAATATACCAGGAGTGAACAATTGGTCGCTCCGACTCAAACCTGGCGCCGTTACTGTTTTGGAACTGGTCCACCCTCCAGTCTCAAAAGAAAACACACCTCAGCAACCAAACAATCTTCATGAGCTCACCACCTTGTACCCCACTAAATAATTCCAATATTATTAGCATCGGCATGATGATCTCCTGATTGAGTTTTCTCTGAATAATGCAAGTCGCAGGAGAGCAGCTCGTCAGACCACACAGTACAATCGTGTTGTGGTTGCGCGAGCAGGGACGGTTTGCCATCGCAATTCGCATAGTGAACGGATTGCAGACAAAATATGGGCCAAGACAACCAGCTGGCATACCATTTATTTATTGATACAGCAAAAAACTAAATTATTGCACGAAGCTAGTATGCTAAGAGGGCCAAAAGGAAAATCCCTTGACCATGATTATCCAGCTGATGGGGAGAATATTGAGAAGTGCTTTGGTCCTGTGAAGTGAAGGTGGTCGTCATCACTGTTATTGTAGTGTGAAAACCGCTTCCAACTAAAATAGTGGGTGGACACCAGGGAGAAGCAGACAGACTTGGAACGGCTGATTGTTTTCGTGCAAGGGATTCGATGGAGAATTTCTATCAACAGAGCGCCATCGTGACCATCTATCAACGATGGTACGTACTACGTAGTGATGATGATTGGAGGAGCTGTTTTCCTTTAAAGGGAAACATGAAACAAGCCTTCTGGGTCTTGGCTGTGCTGAATTCAGCAGAGTCAGAGACGTAGAACAACTTACCTATGTGCTGGTATGGGAAAGAGAAGCAAAGGTTAAAAGAGATACAGAGGCAAAAATGGTAGAACACGACAAAGATCAAGAGACCTATAAGGTATGTAGGGTTTAACTCTGGAGTTTTAAACTCGGACGTTTTAAACTCGGACGGTCGGACCCGATGGACTGTACGAAAATTCACCCAAAATAAAGGAATTTGGATATTTCATTTTAAAGCTAATGAAAGCTTTTAAAATAAAACATCATTTTGTACTCGAGGATTTGATTTATTGATTGT